TTTCAGAACATAGCAATCCACTTTTAGCATCCACACAAGGTCAATAATTTTTTAATCACACTTGATAAATTATATTTTGTTTTCAAATTATCGAGAGGGCAAATAGAGACGGCGTGAAACGGAATGCTTGGAATGAATTTCCTGGGCGAAGTTTTTGGTCGCCGGTCCTTTCTTCTCAAAGGCGTTCCTGACCCGAACGTGCTCTAATTTATGGTCGTCTCTGCTTGTGTGTTTGAGCTCGGCTTATCTCCCTTTTAATACCCCGATTTATTATCAAGACGGGTGATTTCTATGACCCGATGACATCTCGTCACATTCCCTAGAAAGCGACAAAAAGGAATCACTTAATATGTTACGGGTTGGGTTCCCAAGTAAGACGTCACAGAATTGCCACAGAAACAGACAAGAAGATGAATATATATTTTTTTACATTCAATTAAACTGCTAGGTAGGTTTGAATGCTGTAATATTTTGACTATTGTGACAAACACAATACGAGTCGAAATGCGGCCTGGTGTGACGTAGGTTTAGAAAAACATTTTCTTTATCGTGCCAACGTTTCGATCTTTATTGAGATCATCTTCAGGGTCTGGGATTTATAAACATTGTTTAAATTATACAAATACATTTAGGATGTAAAAAAATGAATTTATACAATGCTAGAAATTTTAGACTCAATCAAAGTATTTTTACTCAAAGTGTTTATTTTCTGTGTAGATGTGTCATTATTGTGTCACTCTTAACACAACACACAATAATGACACATTTAACAGAAAACAAACACTTTGACTGAGTACAAATACTTTGATTGAGTCTAAAATTTCTAGCTTATATAAATTCATTTTTTCACATCTACATTTATTTGTACAATTTAAACAATTACAATTAATTAAGGTTTTTAGTTGAGATAAAAAAAGTCAATGGCACGAGCGGGATTCGAACCCACGATCTTCGCCTTGATACGCCGCTGCTCTACCAATTGAGCTATCGTGACCTCGATCCGTGGGGTTGAGATGGGAAGTTAGTGTCCGAGTGGATCGAGGTCACGATAGCTCAAGTGGTAGAGCAGCGGCGTATCAAGGCGAAGATCGTGGGTTCGAATCCCGCTCGTGCCATTGAATTTTTTTATCTCAACTAAAAACCTTAATTAATTGTAATATATTAATTGGTCAAGAGGACCACGAAATACAATGTTTATAAATCCCAGACCATGTAGATGATCTCGATAAGGATCGAAACGTTGGCACGATAAAGAAAATGTTTTTCCAAACCTACGTCACACCAGACCGCATCTCACGTTCTCCAAATAATCATTAACTAACGGTCACTAAACACCACACATTTAAAACTATTTTTTTGGAGAATAAAAAAAATGGTATATGAATGCCTTTCTAGTACAGTCTAGCCTTTTGGCTCGATAGTTAATGTTTAATCTGTATAACCAGTCAAGGTGTCTTTGAATGCAGATCCGAGGGTTTCCGTCCAATATGCCACAGGAGCCAAGAAAAAAATCATTTTGGGTGTAAAAATGACCAAAAATGCGTTAACAAAGCAACTGCTCACAGCTCTTTCAATAAATTTGTTAGAACATTGAAAAATATTAGAATGTGTTATGTTTAATTAGAATGGCGAAATTAGCTTCAGGAAGCCCGTAATAAAATGTTAAATATTCTGGTCCTGCGAAAGTTAATTTCAAAATCTGCTAATTGCATTACGGATGGTTTGGACTTGATTTAATGAAGAAAGTACCATTGAAACGTATTATACGGGGTTTATTATTATTCCGTAATAAAAGTAATAAAACACAAACCAATATAATTAATACAAACAAACAATTATAATTAATCATTTAAACGTATAGGCAAAACTTTTATTCATTTAACAGTACAATATTTATGAGATAGTAATTTTATACAACCTTACTATAACTGAAAAAAACTGCTGTCCAGCTGGTGCAAAGCCGCCTTAATGGCCAGAGCCGACTTAATTATAACCAAGATTCGAAATTTACATTTCTTCTTCTCTTTATTTCTTTCCTGTTGTCATTCTTTAATTACCTTCAGATCCAACTAATTTTGTTGTCTTCATAGATTTTCAATTATAACAGTATTATAGTGGAGAGGTAAACCATTGAATTAATTCTTATCACAGCACTGTACATTTTTCTCACTAGGGAGGAAATCGCGATGCCAACGGTGCATTTAGGAGTCTTAGAGGATTGCCTGGGAGAGTTCGGGTTGAAAGGTGTTGGACTAGAAGGTTGAGATGAAGTTCGAGGTTGGAGGCGTCTACTTTTTCCAGTTTCGAGTATAAATGTGATTTGGGGATCTGAGTGGATAGTAAGGTTTCATACCTTTCAAGTAAAGTAGCCTGTCTGGCTGTGTTAAAGTTGTTGCTCCGTTTTGGTCTGCGAGTCGGTGAAATCATCTTGATCACCGCGAGTATCTGACCCATAATAAGTAACCGAGTATCGGTAGAACATAAGTTTATAATTTCGAACAAAAAGACAAAAGTCTATCTTTCGTTATGTAGGATGAAATTGAAGGATCCTACACTGACCACGTGCATAATAAAAAAATACTTGCTGATTTTGCCAAGAAGACAGAGGCATCGGAACAGTTGTAAATTCAACAACAATAACGAAATATATTACAAATGCAACTTAGGAAAGTGATTAAATTCCTAAAGATGAGTTCATTCCACGGTATGGAGTATGTACTAAGAGCAGATCACAATCGGCAATTGAAATTATTCAATTGCAGTGGACAGTGAGCGTTTTAAACTACCCAAAAATTAACGAGAAAATAAAAAATCAACACATTTCTGCTACATTCTGGCAATAAAAAATTAACTAGAGAGGTGGTAAGTCACGCCCATCAGACCAGAACCACAATTAAGCACACGGGAAAGTATGCTGAAGTGAACCAGTAGATAGCCAAAAAGAGAATTTCACACTGGTCTAAATTTCTAAATCAAGATAGCCACAGGAGGAAATTCAGATATTGATTACAAGGATGTTTTGTACTATAGTGGTTTTGTTTTTCCTTTCCAATCGCTGTATTTTTACGACGAGATCATGTTTTCTCCTCTCCGGTTGAACTTCGTTTCTCGATTCGGCCAGAAAAATGACGAGGGTTCCAAGTCGTATTCGGTGGAATCACAATTGGAATGACACAACAATCATATGACAGGAAGATGACACATCTTAGCAGATTAACCGAATTTTTCGAGAAATATGTCCGGACGGATTATTAAAACCTCTTTGGCGGCGGTTGCTCATTTCGTTCTTCTTAAGCAATTGCAGGAAGAAAACACCTCCGCAGATAATCCAAGAATTAGCTGCAAATTGCTAATTCCTCGCTGTCTCCGACTACCCACTTAGTAGTGTCTTTTATCTAGCCCAAATACGATTCTGCGCTGAGATGACAATCAAAAAATTGAAATTGTGATAGGCGATTATTTGCCTTTTTTATTGTTTAAGTTAACAAATCTCTGGAATTGAATTATCAATTATAGTAAAAAAAAATCAGTAAGGAGCATATCTAAAGTGAAGGGGGACCCGCAGGTCGACTTTGGTAAATCTCCTGCCTTCAGTGTTTTAACTACGTATTTCATCATTACTCATAAACTGTTGCATCGAATTTTTGAAATTTTAACGAATTATATGAAGGTTTCGTGAATTTTTATCAAGTAGGTAAAAATGTGTTGTAAACTTATTAGCCACCTCCAAAGGACTTTTTCAAATTCAAGGAATTTTTCTCAGAAACTAATAAAACGTTCTAGATGAAATTTTTAAATACAAAGAACACGTGAGAAAATAAATATGACAGAGAAAGTAGATAGGAGAAGAATATAAGAAAAGGTATGATTGTTTCCCCAGAGTATTTTGAAAAACTATTTAAGTTACGAAAAAACTTTTTACAGGGTTGAATAATCTATATTGATACAGTGTCGTGCCAAAATGTGAACGAAATCGGATGAGTGGTTCCCGAGGAATGTTTATATAGGTCAAAAACTTAAATTTTTCATTTGTGTTGTTTGGATGAGTAGTTTTCGGGATTTGTTTTTTGAGATAAAGCGTGTTTTTTGTGTTTTTTTCGGTGTTTATTCTCGCGAAAATATTATGGGTAGCACGAAAAGAGTTTTCAAAAAGAAAAAGAAGGTGCCTTCCTATTATGTATGGTTCCAGGGGCACAGGACCTAAGCGCCCGGAGGCTTGACCTGGAGCGTAATCTGCGCGAGTGAAAGACCTACATTAACTGAAAATTTTTGTTACAAAATGATTCTTTAAGAATCGCAAAAAACTTTTTAAAACAAAACTGCGAGTCCTCTAAAATAAAGGCACATTGTATGTCCATTTCTAAATATTTAAGGGGAGACATGTCCTTTCAGAATAAGACCCAGACCAACCACCATAAATGGCGAAATCTTGAAACACATCTGACAAAATGAGCGAGAAAAGACAGTACCAGGATAATCGAATATTACAAATTTAATTAGCCTGCGTATCTTGTTCTCTGGTGCGTTCTGCTAGGAAAACAATAAATTACTAACGTTTTGACAATAGGAAGGTGGTATTTGTTGCCGCATCCTTATTCTTGTCAACAAAACTTCAGTCGGAAATCTTCAAAAACTTTTAAACATTTGTTGTTCCTTGTGGTCACCATCATGATGAAACACAATTGCTTCAATCGCACAAATTTTCAATAATTGGTAGAGGGTGTATTTCTAATATTTTTAGAATACACTATTGATTTTGGATGACCATTTTGCATAATAGATTTTGAGTTACCGGAGAATACACATGGGATGGGTTAGCTTAGGTTATTATTTATTTTTTTAAATTGAATAATTGAGTCACAATCCGCGCGAATCACAATAAGTTACATTGCTAATATACACAGAGAGATAATACAAAAAAAGACATCGAGTGGTGAAGCTATCCGGTGATACCACTCCTAAAGCAGAAATCATTACTTAATCACTCGCACTCTCTGAGATCAGGTCTCGGGGCCTCTATTTTTTTTGGACGTGTAGGATTATTGGGAAGACATCGAAAGGATCTCGAGAGGAAAGTTGTTGTACGTGGAGATTAAAGTGAGGTTGGAGATTAGTGTGGAATTTTTTGTAGCTGTATTTTGCAACTTAATTTAAAAAGGAAACATTTAGGTCTTTATGGATGGTGCGTTGGAAACATAGAACGGGGCGTGGACGATGGATCTGACGAGTCTGATTGTAGTGTCTGGATTCCGAGGAGGAAGGTTTGGTTGAACCCTTTAATTTCGTGTTGTATTAAGTTATATAAGAGTATTTTGTTGTCGAGGGAGAGTTTAGATCTATTGTTAAGTACTCTGTATCGTCGGTTCAGTTTTATCTTTTAAGTCGTGAATGGGGTTCCAGATGAGTCGTGTGCTAGACACAGCCCTAGGTAGCGGATGACGCATTGTGGGGGATGAGGTTATAATAGATTGAAGGTAGAGTGATGCGACGGAGGGTGAAAGTTGTGTTTTGGGACTTTGTGATGTTTAGTTTGATTCGCCAGTTTTAGAATCATTGTTCAATGGAATATATGTGTGCCTGGAGGGTTCGGTGAGCTATGATTGGGTCGGAATTAGAGACTACAATGGCTGTGACATCAGCGTATGTTAGGATAGTTGAAGAGATGAAAAGAAGTTTGAACAGTATATACTGTGTGCAGTAGCAGACCAAGGACGCAAACCTGAGGGACTCCCGCCTCCACCCTGTACTATGGAGGGTATGAGGATCCGACCTATACTCTAAAGTACCTGTCTGCCAGGCAGGATTTAAAGATGACGAAGTATGTGGAGGGTAAGATGCCCTTGAGTTTCCAGAGCAAACCCAGGTGCCAAACTCGATGGAAACGAGAACGAGAAATACTCCCGAGCAGCATGACCTACTTGGTTTTTTTTGTAATTTTTCTTTTTTACGAGGGTTCGCAACAGTAGAGGTCTTATTAACTCTTGTCGTGCCGGTGTTTTTGAAGAGAAAAGCCCATTTGTAAGTATGTCGGGTTCGAATGCAGGGCCGTTGGATTCGAACCCGGGACCTTTACCTTACAGTGATGAGCGACGTGTCAACGCAACAGTTGCGGCCACCGACGTCCCAGACCTAATTGATTAAAACCGTTTTTCGGATAAACACGAAAATTAATTAATAAGATGTAGGTGTGAATTTTGATAGAATTTCGCCTAAGGAAGAAGACCAATTCTTTTAAAAAGGATAATTAAATATTAGGAGAAATAAATTCGAACACGTCATATTGGCAAATTTTCAATACAGACATGCTTTAAAAAAAGTCCTGTTGATACTAAGACCGGAAATACTTTTAAAAGGGTGGGTTTTAATTGCTTCAGTGATTTGGCGACATCTGTCGTCCAAATGGATACCCTAGAGTTAAAATAGGCCTGCCCATAAATTCAAACCTGGCCCTTGTGGACTCATGAATAGAAGTCTAGATTTATGCGAACATCAATTCTTTAAACCGAGCAAAATTTAATCAGCCGGAAGTCGGTTGAAGTCCTGCAAAACATGTCAGCTTTCCCAACAGTACGAATCAGTGCTGGATTAAATTTTCGTCTTCACTTCTGAGGCAATTTATAACGGATTATCTCATGTTTTGTCAATCCCTGACATTCCGAGCCGAAAGACCGTCTGCAATCCATTGAAACAAACTGACTTCCATCAAACGTGAATGGCCATACACCAAACCACCATAAACATTATGTTGGCATACATCTCACGCTATCTTTCAATCTCTCACTCACTCCCTATCACTCCGTCCTTTTCACGCTCGTACTCACTCACTACTTCACACCCTCTTACTTACTCATTCTCGCTCGCTCTCTTACTCTTTCTCTCTCTTTTTCCCCTCACTCACTCTCTCCCTCTTTCTACCTCTCTCTCACTCCCTCTAACTCACTCGTTAATTGTAAAAGGAGTAGTTCGCGACCAAAATTTGCGAGATTTGTTAAATAAAACTATATTTATTCAGACCCTCTCTGTTATTTTTGTAACGTGACGGTTTCTTGAACAAAACCATTGGCATTTTCTTATATTGTCAACCCTTGTTATTTCTGCTAGTTGTTGAACATTTGTCAGCAGCTGTTCCATATTCTGTATCGTCGACCATAGGACATTTAAAGTTTCAAAAGCAGATAAACACACGACTAAACTGTCACTTTAGCGAACATAGAAGTGTATGTACCCACTACACTTATATTTTAAGCTGAATTGCATCCCAAAATAAAATTTCCATGGACTAATGTAGAATTGTAACGATGCGATATTGCCGAAATTTAATCCTAGAGAGTTAAAAGGTATAAAATAATACGACTGAAAATTGCAATTCCTCTTTTTATCCCCATATTACTGGGTATTGTTTTTGTTAAACTCTCTTGCATGTATTGGTCAAATTTAACTCCATCCAGGAGTTGATACGGCGTTTATCACTGTAAGGTAAAGGTACGAGCCAGCGGCCCTTCATTCGAACCCGACATTGTTATAAATGGGCTTTTTTTCAAAAACACCGGCACCCTGAGAGTTTATATGACCTCTGCTGTTGCGAACTCTTGTAACAAAGAAAAAAACCGTTTTAAAGGCATAACAGAATCATGACTGGACAAATTTTTGCTTTTGAATAGGGTTAGTGTACGGGCTCTCATTCTAATGAAGGGGGATCTCACATGCAGGCATTAACCGTGAGACAGGTAAACACCTATGACTCGGGTTCTCATCACAATTAGAGAAAGAAAATGGAAAATATTTTCAGACCGACTAGCAAGATTTTTCTTATGCTTTACAAGAGCAAAAACATTTTTTTGCTCAGATAATAAAATCCTCTTACAAACAACAGGTTGTTTTTGATTTTTTACTGCAATATACATGTACATTTACCATAGCCTTCACCATCCTCCACGGTAAGTCTTTCATTGCAAAGCAATAAATACAATGTTTTATGACGAATAATCACTAAGTAAAGCCGACTTATTTTTTCAAGCTACGTGTCACGTGATGACAGATCGTAACATACAAAATTTATTGTTAAGTATAAAAAAAGAGCAGATTTGAGAATTCATGTCGTTCTAAAAGAAAAGAAAAAGAAGCTTTTGATGTTTGACCCAGCTCGTCGTTGAACGTTCAACCATTTTCCGAAGAATACAAAGAACTGACAATTAAACTCAAAAATTTGTGAGTTAAACGATTTAACGGATTTTTAATAGTAAAACTGATTTCGCATTTATATAAATAATACATGTGTACAAATGAAAAAAAAAATTTTTTTTAAAAATTCGCGGAAGCATTTGTTGACTGACTATAGCCCATCCTGTACGTTATTGTTGTATTGTTGTTCCTTATTGCTCTTGACTAAAATTAGTTAATCGTTTTAAGTAGCGGCAATCAGTATGACCTCTAAAACTGTAAGTACCGTTTAATGAATTTTGGGATATTTAATCAATTTCAATACCTGCTGAACCAGGCGTTAGAAAATAAAATTCAACGTTAAAGTCAAACAAAATAAATAAAAAAAGAGACAATAAACATAGTGAACAACTAAATTACGACATTCTTTCTTCTTTGTTCATTATTTTTAGTTTAAAGTTGTAACTTCTGTATTGTTTTTTTTTGTTTTCTTTGGACTGTATTTCGTGTAGATATTTTTTCTACTTTGGTAGTTTGCTCTGTTTACTGTCACTGTTTTGTATGTTTCATAGCATGTTTCTTTCTTTTTGTGCATTTTTATTTAAGTTGAAGATGGGAAATAAATTTTGCCCAAGGCAAAAAGTTGAATTACTACAGTTACCCCTCTTCCTCTTCTTCACACCTTTTTGCCATTTAGTATAAAACATAATTATTTTGGTTAGACGTAAGTAAAGAAAAGGGAACACCGCTTGAAAGCTTATTAAACGAAGAAGTTGTGAAAATTTTTAAATTTAGCAGTTTTTGAAACATTTAGTCTTTGCTTTTTTTACCAAAAATTAAATTGAAAGTTCAAGAAGGGTGCTTTTTAAAGGAAATTTATCGCTCTTTTCAATGCTTTTTTTTATTTTCCCAAAAATGAATAGTTCAAGAACTACGAGTAATGCGTACAACCGTAAATAGTTCTACGGAAGAAAAACTATAAAATGTAGAATATCTGCGAAAGGGTTGAGAATCGGACCGTAATTCGTATTCATACGAACGTCTTTGTTGCATTTGAGGTGTACAAGCACCTGACGAACTTTGTCGTAGGAGTAGCAAATCACCCTGTATAATTTAATGAATTGTTAACAATAAAATATGGCATACGATGTATTTATGAAATTTTAGAAACAAATAGTTATGGATTGGTTGTTTGAATTGTTAATTTTGTCGAATGTGTGTTGTTCACTGTTTGTGAATGAGAAAGGGTGAGGTGTCTATCAGTACATGATGACTCTGTGTGATCAAAATAGTAGGAAAGATGATCATAAACGACAAAACTATGGGCTCATCGATCCGTAGACCTCATCAAAGCAACAATATGTCTACCTAAATATCTCACGATTTAATATTTTTTTGATATATCATGTTTTAATATGTTTTATTTTAGAACGTTAACTTAAACATAAGGGGGTTGGTGGCCGCAACGGTTTAGGCGTTGACACGGCGCTCATCGCTGTAAGGTAAAGGTCCCGGGTTCGAATCCAGCGGCCCTGCATTCGAACCCGGCATACTTACAAATGGGCTTTTTTTTCAAAAACACCGGCACCCTGAGGGTTTATATGACCTCTGCTGTTGCGAACCCTCGTAAAAAAACTAAAAAAAAACTTAAACACGTTTCTCTTATAGAACTTCTCGCACAGAGAAAAGACAAGAAAATATATGCAGGTTTTCTAAGAATGAATAATAAAGTATAAAAAAGGGACGGAAAAAAAACATCAGAACATGTGTTAGATTGTATCAATGACCGCTTCCTTGTAGCTTAATTTTTCATCAAAATACCTAATGGATGATCGTGGAAGATTTAGGAGAGCAATAAAGCCGAAACGGCCGTCACCAATCGGACTGCCCGGGGTTGGTCTCGGAGACGCAAAGTTGTTAGAATACAAAGAGGAGGCGGATGAATAGTAATGGAATCTTGGAATAGTTCAAAGCTCATCGACAACAGTGTCGGATTTCTTATGGGGTAAGACCTCAGAGAACAGTTCAAAGCCCCTGGAATTGACGAACGGGCGTAACGCGAGCCGGAAGACGGGCTGAATTCGAGATTTCAAGCCATAAA